AGAAAATGGACAGATACACCGCCATCTTTTTTGTCTTTTGTGCATGTGGACAGTAGTGCAGCGAGGCCCATATGAGCATCGCACACCATTAGACAAAACTATTACAGTATATTCAGTAGTACGGTAGACGACGACTGCCAGCAGAACCGATCTCTCAGATCTCCAACCACAGTTCTTGCAGCAGGTTCATCAGGAGAAGAGTATGAGATGAGACGAACGACCAGTGTCGCCGTTACACAGCTGCGCGACGACTGGCGACCGGTAGGTGGATGACGTGGAAAGCTGTGTAACGTGGAAAAAGAACGTGAGCAGAGCCGATCAGAAACTATATCCACAGCAACCAAACCGATATAGATATGATAAGCACATCCGTCGAGAATTGACATGCTTGCAAAAGAGTAATTGACTTGACGCAAAGCAAAGCAAGACCAGGGGATGATTCGCGAACGGGAAGTGGATTGAGATGAGATACGTAAATTTGCGGGGTTCAGATATCAGGCAAATCAATCTTATGGCGGCGAAGTGCAGGGGCAGACAGACAGGTCGCTCTTCCGAGAAACAAGGTAGGGCCGGTCTAATCAACGACACAAACAAGGGTACATAGATAAACAGGTGCTCGCCTTCTCTGATTAGCTTTACATATTACAATATAGGAAAAAGCAAAAAAGAGCAAGGAAAAAAAAAAAAAAAAAGTCCGCAGAACGGCGAAATGTACCGTTTTAAACCTTTCCCGAGGTGCACCGAGCCCCTCCGTCAGTAATCAATCGGACACGACCGTCGAAGAAACGCAAAGGCATTAGACACTCCTCGAAGCAATCAGGGCATATACTCGCACGAGGACCTTTCTGCATCATCTCTGGACGTGATTACGGCCATGTACGGTTTGGTCTGGCTGTAATTGCGGTCAGATACATTAAAGAAGATCTATACCCTCAAAGCAATCAGGGTATAGACTCGCACGAGGACCTTTCTGAATCAGCTCATGACGTAATTACGGCCATGTACGTGCTGGTCTAGCCATAATTGCGGTCAGATACGTCAAGGAAAGATCTAGTCTGACTATACCCTCAGTCTGAACGGATTGTTATTAAAGTTAAATAATAGTAATAATCCCTTTGGGCATTTAAGTCTGATGTTTCTGGCCGCAATTTCGGCCTTTTTTAAAACCGAAATCGTCAGGGCTGATTACTGCGTTCCCGCCCGCCAGCAGGTTCAAAAAACGCTGAAAATTTGCGACGAGAAACGTCAAAGCTAACTGGCCACCACCGCCGATTAGGGCGGGGGGGGCAACATGCATCCCCTTAATTCTGAGAGGCAGCTATGCTTGCAGGGCTCCCCTGTATAGCCCTACTACCTACGACTAGTGCTCGGAAGGTAGTTAAAAGGTGAAATTGCGAGACGAAATATAGCTTACTTTTAAAGAAAAGAAAAAAAAAAAGGAAAAAAAGGGCTCATATAATGACCCACCTGAAGATATCCCAGCAGGTCTCGACACCCTTCAATGACGGGAATCCGTCCTTGGCAAACACACTGCGATAGACAGGTCCGGCGACCGGAGAAGCTTCTGTATTGGCCGGCTCCACTTCCACTATCCATTTGCTGGCATTCTCCATAGCCATGGTGGTGGCTTCCCCTCGGGACGTGCAGAACCAATCAACGTGTTGCCTTCTCCTCCCTTTCGTCACCCCTCCCTTCGTCCGACCCTCCCTTTTTTCACCCCTCCCTTCCTCTCCAACGCGCTCCTCGCGTAAGGCAACTCCGCTTCCGACTCGTGTTGCCCAACAATGCTCTCGCACTTGCCGGCTCTCGCTTCCTTCACCCTGCTGAGGAAGAGCCTACTACCGGTAGCGTCCTATCACTAAAGCTTCCGTCCGCGAGGGCCTTATCACATCACGTCGTCATCTGCCCTGCCCCCAACCCCGCTCTCCCCGCTCGGGGCACACACAACTCAACCTCGTGCCAGACGGAGACGGCAGGGGAACGCGACAAGCCGCCTGGCTTTCAGACGCGTTCCAGACGATGAACCACGACCACGTGTGACTCGAAAAAGAACGTGGAAATGGAAACACATCGCGTGCCGAGCGCTTGCCCGCACCGACAATTTCGCGCTTTCCGCCAAATCGCGCTCGAGCTCGAACCTGCAAGGTTGCGCTAATTCCCCGCTAATTTACGTATCTCATCTCCACGGGACCCCACCTCATCTGAATGGGACCCCACCGCCGTGACCTGCGTGCGTGCGAAGTACCGGGACATTTCCAGGTCTGCTGTGGACAACAGACGGTCGGAACCCGTTGGGACCCCGCCAAGCCCCGGCCCCGGTACTGCATTCACGCCAGCGTAACCGGGGGGCAAGGTCCCACTTGCACGGACTAAGAGATTCTGGCCGTTGATCTTTGTTATCTACGGTCAATATCGCTTAATTCGTGTAAGTGGGACCTAGCCCCGGGGCATCCCCCCCCGGCCAGGTCCCGGTTGTCCTTATTAATTAAGGGCGTACTCACAGCGCGGACGTCCCCCGAACACAACGCACCCTGATAACGAATGCATACTACCGGTATCGCGGGTCACTCTGGCCGTACGTGAACGTATCTGACCGCCATTGCGCCCACAAATAAGGGCATACTCACACTAGGACTTACTTTACTTATTTTTCGGGACGAAATTACATCCACATGCATCCATTTGCGGCCGTAAATGAGGTCAGATACACTTAAGATAATGGCTCGTAGTGTGAGTAGGCCCTAAGTATAGAAGTCCTACCGGTAGTATGCCTAAGGTAAGGGACCTACTGTTCGGGACGTAACTGGCCGTCGTCTTGTTTGTCAATCGACAGTAATTCTCCATCCGTTTCAGTGGGACATGCCAGGTGGCAAGCATGGTAAAACCGAATCGCGGAGTGTTTTCTTTTTTTTTGGAACTACACTATGGGGCTCGCTGTACTACTCTCGACATGCACAAAAGACAAAAATCATGGGCGTGTCTGCTTGGTGTGCACGAAAAACGGTAAAGGCTACTCCGGAATGCGGACTTTGCCGGGGAACACGAATGGAGGACATCCATCACCTCTTATTGCTTTGTGAAATATCGAGAACATTTTGGGAGTGGTGGAGACGGTCTGACGTCCCTGTCCCTGGGGCAGCTACTCGGTGGGATGATCAGTTTGTGCTGATGGGGGTGGCTTCAAGAAGACGCCTGTCGCCTGATCATTTGGCCCATGCAGAAGAAACTATTCGAGCTGCCATTGTATGGACAATGTGGAATCTTCGTAATGCTGCTGTGAGAAGGGGAGAACATCTTACACCCCGGATGGTGAGAGCAGAAATCAAGTATGTTATAAAGCAAGCTGTCTTGGCAGACTGGGAGTACCGAGTACAAAAGAAGGGTTGCACAGCCAAAGCCTTGAAATGGTTTGGTTGCAGATGGGGAGCATTTCCGGATCTTTTTACATTGGATTCGCCTGCAGGACAATTTCCAAGGTTGCTTTTTTCTGCTTTCTTTTTGTGAAATTTTGAGTGTTGTTTTTTGAGTTGATTTGCCTAATTGTATGATACAATAGGATAGGTATAGATTCGAGTTGGGATTTCAGTTGTAGACCTTGTTCGTAGGATTGCTAGAGTTAATGGCAGTAGAACTAGATTTTGAATCATTCTTTTCTATGATTTGTTTGACCTTTCTTGCTTACGTGCTTCATAGGCTGCGGTGGGAGATGGGTCCGG